TTATTGAATGAAGAATATTAAAAAAAAAATAAGATAAATAGAAAAGTGGAAATAAAAAAGGGATCATGAACTCTTTATACTTTTTCAAATTCCTAAAACACAAAACCGAAATTACACAAAACACAGAACCGATATGCACAAAAACTTCTATTTTTGTGTAATTTGATTAAACTCACCACATTCGTTATGCGATATGCGTGTAATTTGTTATAAATATCCCAATGTGATTGTGTTACAAAACTGAGATACCATGACAATTTAAAATCCCACATTTATACCAGAAATAACACATAAAGTCATTGAGAGCCCAACATATCATGTAAACAAATACCCGTTTGATCAGTATAGCTGCTACCAGTAATCAATAATCAAATACCACACTAAGCCATTTATGATAACGCAAGACCATAATAAACTAAAGCTGATCTTTAACAAAAGTTACCTTTTGCTTTGAAATTTTGAGGTATTCTGATAGTAAATAATTTTCCTTGATATATGCTTAATATAATTTGTATTAGTTTTTTTACCCGGACCTTACAATTTTATGACAGATCGCGGTATTGTTGCATTAAAATTAATTGATCTTTCGCGGGTACCAATAACTAAATGATTGAAAAAAAAAGATACAAAGATTGTTAGCTTGAACTTTAAACTCTAGATAAAAACTCAATAGAACTATAGAACTCCTCATAATGCTATATGAACTGGTAGCTATTGCACGTATTGTTGATCCATTAAAGCATGCACATGAAGCAAGGGAGTGAGTAAATAAAAACATCGTTACTTAACTATTTGACTGAAGACTAACATCTGATTCTCTTAGAGTTGCAACTACTTTAGGGAAATTAATCATACAGAATAGAGGTGTTGTTAGAAAGATTCAATCAATGGGTAATGAAACTCTACCAAAGATTATGAGAAAGGATCAGGAACATCATTTCCAAGGTCATAGATTCCTAATGTTATTTGATTCTAGTGGGCCAGTACAGTCAGAACTTCTTCGAACATTGAAGGCAGATCCTCGTATAATCAGATCATATATCGAGAAGGTTAGTGATAAGAGAAAACTTGATGCTGGTACTTCATTGGATAGGGCAAGTCGCCGTGCATGAATTTTAAATCGATTAACGAACACAAATCTTGTAAATACATGAATAAATATTTTATCATAATATAAATAATAGCATATTGTATTAACGGCATTACTAGAAAAACTATCTAGTTTATTTCTTTCTATTTCTTTTGTATATATAATATTTAGATTGAACTAGACTGAATACCCATTTATTAGCAAAATTAAATAGCGTTTTATCATATTATGAAGGAACATCTCATATTGTCATATAACACCGCTCTTACTTTTTTTATTCTCATTAACATCTATTGAAACAGTTTTGGTTACTGCTACCGATCTATCAGTATGGAAAAAAGGAAGGGTATATTGTAAGCTTCCTCTCACTATCAAATCAAAAGGGTAATCTATAATTGTTCTCCATTTGTCTGAATCATTATCTATTTTATGATTTGAATCACCGTTGTTATTATCAGTTGAATTTTTACCTGGGTGAATTAATTTTACCCCTGCTATTGAAATCGTGTGATTTCTATTGAAAAATCCACCAGGGAACTCCAGAGGTGTTTCAAACTTTGATACACTTCCTAACAAAATTGTTTGCAAAGACTTTGAATCATCTAAGTAACTTGGGATATAATATTCACCATCGTTCAAATGTGATGATTTGGCAAAAACGTCCATCTCTAAATCGACAACTTCAACTGTGATAAACCCCGGATTGAAAGCTTGGACCTGCAAGTCAAATACCAACTCGTCATAAGATACTATAACATCATCAATTGACAAAATATCAACATCTTGCAAATCTTTAGTTGTGGCTAACAAAAATCCTGCTATGAAACCGAACACTAACAACAGTAGCACAAGCACAAAAAAATAAAAGAAATTTTTCAGAATCTGAAGTTTCGAGCTTCTCTTAGAGTTGTAAAAGTTATGGGGGGAATAATGCCTTTGATTTTGAGGTTTCCTGTTTTTTTTTGGATTCCTCAAGATCCTTGAATTTGTATGTCTCAGTGGACTTCCGTCTTTATAATCTCCAAATTCCTGCGAAAATCCACCTTGATCGGTTGACTTGAAATTTGGAAATTTACGCTTGTTATATGAACCTTTGGAGGCATTATACCTCAAATTCCCATTAGCAACATGTACATTCAATGGTGTAAGTTCATCCTCATCTTCATAATCATCGTATTCATAAGTGTCAGCGTAATCAGCACCATCTATTTCTTGTTCTTCGTCGTACTGATCAATATAATCTTCAATATTGATATCATCAGGTACACCAGAGTATCTCCTTAATGATGTTCCTTTTGTTTCAAATAACTTGGAAGTGGTTGTCCTGAGTTGATTTTGTTTTTTGTCAGATAACAGACTAGCGCTACTTGGTTTTCTAGAGTTATTACCCCCATTATACTTGGTAAATGACTTCGAAACAACATTTTCTGGTGGTTTCGATATTTGAGTAATGTTTGGACTTGGCACTTTAGTAACTTCATTTGAGCTTTCACTTTGTACTGCACCATTATCTTCAATAACATCAGCTGTGTCTTTTACATCATCCGTTGGAGAACAAGCGGAAACAGCGTTAGAGTTTGTAATTGTGTTGTCCTTGTTACTCAAGTCTAAATCCTCTTCTGTATCATATTGCTTATCATTAGCTTCTTTTGAGTCATCATTAGTTAGCATAATATGTGATGCTGTAGGGGAATAAGGTTGGGAAGGAGTAACTGGCATACTAATATTTCTTTGTGATAATTTCCTGAGTGCCATTGGGTTACTTGAGCTCAACACACCTGCTATAGTTGAGTTTTTATTTGCAGGTAGGGTATTTGAAGTATTCATTGCATCTGGTGCACTTTCATAAACAAATGTTTCTTCAGAATCAGAATCAGAAACATCACCAACAGCATTAGCAATTCTAGCAGCAAACAGATCAGCTTTTGTAGCACCTGGTTTAGATATGTTCATATGACTTTCTGATGGGTTCAGTCTTTTGCTGATATTTCTTATAGAACCATTTACACTAATTGTGTCGTTATCGTCTTGGGCATTCAAGTTCTGCGATGTGTTTGGTGCTATTTGTGTAGTTTGATTATTTTGATCAATAAAGAGCGTACTTTTCTTGCTTCTTAAAGAGGCCAAATTATTAGATATACTTGAATTGTTGGACATCAGCTCATTATTTATAACATTTGAAGTTGAAGCAATAGGTAATGTAACTGAAGGAACTTTTGATGCATCCACTGTTTCTGTTTCCACTATCATACTTTTATTTGTGGCAGGATTCTTGACAGCCTTATCGTTGGTACTGGATCTAGAAAACAATGGCCTTGTCAAGTCCTTCTTCTTGTTTGCCTGAGCTTGCGATATACTCTTTTGATAACTAGCAGCAGCTGGGTCTTCCACAATATTATCATTTTTGATTACAACACTGACTCCAGAATCCAGACTATTGATCGTTGATGTGGGATTTGTATTTGACGCCTCTTTAGGAGCAACACATTCTGTGTCCTTCAAGGTGGTGGTCTTTATAGATTCTTCGTCACTCATTTCAATTTCACCCTTTCTATCTTCACAGTTTTTATTAATGTTTAAGCAAAATTCTTGTTAAGTAATGTTGACAAAAGACAGTGATTGACAATGTAATGGCAAATACGAAATCTGAGATGAAAAACACAAAGTGAATGGGTCTTCAAATTAAAATTCAAGCCGTGATACCTGTCTTGAAAGCTTTTAGTGGATGAATACTCTTGGGGATGTCCGTCTGAGCTCTTGATAAAATAGTGAGTTATTCAACAAATTCTTTGCAACCTCCTTGTTCCTCTAAAATAAAATTGCTAAAGTTATGCTAATTAAGCTGAACGGTTTCACTAAAAAAGTGTCTTTTTCTGAATAAGTATGAGAATTCCCGATGCTGGTCTAAGACTAGGAATTTATGGGTAGTCCACAAAAATCAGCCAGTTAAAAGTATCTCGCGCCTGGATTTATACAGTCTAGGTCCATATTAAAGAGACTTTAGTGAAATATTGGTGTATGGATGCGCTTTTGAAGACTAGCTAATATTTTGCTTGAGATCCAATTTTCAGCGCGATTGAAAAAGCTAACCAAAGAATCAAGATAACAAAGATCATAAAGTAAACATCCATAGATTATTTGAATTGAAGTCATTCAAACATCACATTATAGCTCAGATTTACTTATCGGCCCTCCAACCCTGAATATTTTGAAATAAGTCGCTGCTGCTATTATTGTGGAGTCACTAATGTTCTCGTTTCAGCCATTTGTGAAGAATCAAAACCAAAACAATGATATTACGCAAAAACCAAATAATTTCATAAATAACAATGATAACAGACCTGTATTCAAGAATGAAAGGATACAGAACAATTTCACCAAAACTAATGTCTTTCAAAAGGGAAGTATGATACCCAAAGGCTCGTCAGCCAGTCGAGATTCTTCTACAAGTTATTTGGTAAATGTGAACAATGAAGATTTCAAATTTGAAGACGCAATTGGTGGATTTGGTATTGACGTTTCACTTTTTGGTGACTTCCAGCTAAATCAAAGGCCATTGGCTAAATTTTTGATATATCAAAGCCCAGGACTGACTGCGAACCCTATAAAACAAGATGATTGGGATAAATCAAATCAGCAAACCATGTTGAATTTAGAAGCAAAAACAACTGATTTAACAACACTTTATGAGGAATTCCAGAAAATGAGAGACCAAGAAAGATCAGTCATGGAAGAAAAAGGCTTGGTTGATAAAGAGGACACAAGAAAGACTTTGGAAGATGCTATTTCTTTCCAAGGTTCATGTTTAGAAATGTGTCCAGTATATGAAAGAATTAGAAGATCGATTGAAAATGATGTGAGGAAATACGAGAAGGATAATTCAGGTAAAATATCACCGCATAATGCTATAAAAGCATTCTCGAGGCCTGCTGCTGGTCAGCCTCCACCTTTGCCTTCAGATGTTCGTCCTCCTCAAATATTGAATCAAACCCTAGATTATATCGTGGATAACATTCTTATCAATTTACCAGATGCACAATCATTTATTTGGGATAGAACAAGATCAATCCGTCAAGATTTTACTTACCAAAATTATTTTGGTCCTGAAGCTATGGATTGTAATGAAACAATCGTAAGAATTCATATTCTAACTTTACATGTAATGGCTAAAACAAAATCTGAATTTTCACAACAGCAAGAATTAGAACAAATGAATAAATCATTGAAAACATTATCGGAAATGTATGCTGAATATAGATCAAGAGGTATACAAGCGCCAAATGAGGCTGAATTTAGAGCATATTATTTAATTAGTCAATTGAGAGATCCTGAACTTGAAAGGGAGATACAAACATTTCCTAGTGAAGTTTTAAGAGATGAAAAGGTTCAATTGGTGTTGAATGTCAGAAACATGATTCAGACAAACATAGTTGAACGTGGGTTTCAAGCAACAGAAGACGTCTTAAATCTTTATAAGAATTTTTTCAGAAACTACACACAAGGTCAAATACCTTTATTGATGGCTTATCTATTAGAGATTCACCTTAATGAAATAAGATTTTATTCATTAAAGTCATTAAAAAAATCATTACACACAAAGTCCAAACCATACCCATCAGATTATGTTATAGATTTGTTAGCTTTCAATAACTTTCAAGATTTATCTACATTTTGCAAATATTACGGAATCAAAATTATACAAGAGAATGGTGGATTTTTCGTTGATGTGTTGACACTCTCTTATTCCTCCCATTTGATACCTGATCAAAAGCCTCTTCAACAAGCTCATTTTGAAAAGTTTGATCACAAAGTTACTTCTTATAAAGAAATCGTGAAAGCTGGTATCTCTAATTCGAATGCTATCGAAATTCCAAAATTTGATCAATCCATCTTACCCCAGAACCAAACTTCTATAATTGACAAGATAAATCAAACTTCTCAATCAGACTCAAATGGTACGAAGTTACCAGGATTCAATTTTTTCACATCCAAGCCATCTCCTCCTATAATTACTCAACCTAATATCACAGAATCAGATCTTAAGATAAAGGAACAACAGGAAAATATTTTGCGTGAAGAAAGTTTAAAGAAACAAAAGGATGAGGAAAAAGCAAATTTATTGAAACAAAAAATCAAAGAACAAAAACTTGAAGAACAAAAGAGAATAGATGCTGAAAAGAAAAAACTTCAGGAGTTAGAGGAACAAAGATTAAGAGATGAATCGCTGAAAAAGCAAAAGAAATTAAACTTGATTAATTCAATTTCTAGCTCAATAACAAAAGATATTTTAGCAAATGTGGTCAGAAATGAAGTTAGTGCTGTTACAAAACCATTATTTGATGAAACTTTAGCCCGAGTTAAAAAGAAAAAACTTATTATGGATTCATTTAGTGAAGGTTTACTTGAAGCATTTGTTGGTGAATTACTTTACATTGAATCTTTAAAGATTTTAGCTGATAATTTCAGAAAACAACAATTAAAAAAAAATTCAGTTGGTAAAGTGCTTAAAGTTTCTAAAGAGTGTCAACAGAAATTGGAGGCTAAAAAACGTAAAAGAGAAGAATTTCTTGAAGCTTCCAAAGATTTTGGTATACCTAAAGTTATATTGAAAAGAAAAAGATTAAACAACAATGCTGATAAATCTGTGGAGAAAATCAATTTTGATGAATTTAATTTTGATGCTATGATTTCCAATATTAATAAAGCTGGATTAGATAAATATGAAGCTTTAATTTATTCACAAAAACTTGATTCTTCAAGATGCTTATTTTTAAGGAAAAAATTTGGAATTAATAATGAAACCAACGAAAATAATGTTAAAAAAGATTCAATTGAAATTAAATTTAAAAATACTAATGAAATAAATCCATACTCTTTTAATAATGTGAATTTATTAATTTTTAACTGTGATGGTATTGATAAGATAAGAGAGCAAAAATCTTTACTTCGAGAATTAAACAATGGTATATCATTAAATTCTAATTACAAATTTGAAGTTTTAATTATTTTTTGGGATTTAAAAGGAACTCATAAATTATCCACTAATGATATTTTACGTGAATTAAATTTTGTTAAAAGTGATAATGTTTTAAATGTTGAGGTGGTTAAACTTGATAATGATATGAATTTAGAATTATTACAAAATAAAATTAATAATTTTGGTAAAATTTATGGATTAACTGCTAAAGGTGAATATAATTTGAAATATAATAATTCTAAAAAATTATTAAAAATTAATAATGATCATGAAGATAAAATTTCAAATCCTTCATTTAATAATGATGTTATTAATAATTTGAAATTTAAAGAGTCTAAAATTAAAGAAAAACATTATAAACATCTTCAAAAACATATTGAAGCATCACCAAAAAGACATCATTTACCAAAATTATTATCAAATTCGAATAAAGTTACAATGAATGTTGATAATAATAAATTCAATAATAAACTTAATAAAAAAGAAAAAATTGAAGTTTATAGTACACCAAGACCCAAATCAAGTGAATTATTACAAACTCCATCATATTATAATGATAGTACAGGTAGTAATATATCAAATTTATCAAATATTACATTTGCTAATCAATCAATTTCTACACCAATTATAAATAAACCAACATATTCTCAAGTTGTTCAAAATTCAATTAAAAAAACAAATGAAGAAGAAGAAGTTATACCTAAAAGTATATTAGAACTAAGAAAATTAGCAGCAAGTGTTCGTGAAAGACATGGTAAAAAATGAATAAATTTAGCATTAGTTAGCATATAGAACTATTAAAAGTTTTACAATAATTTATAATTTATAATGATAAAATTCATTTATTGTAAGAATATTTAATGATTGAAACTTATAAAGAAACCTTAAAAATAAAAGCTATAACAAAAATCCAAATACAATCATGATCAACACGATTTAATAATTGTTCTGAAAAAATTAGCAAAATATACTTGAAGTTGACGTAATTTCAAGTATTAGTAAATATTTTTGATTTTTAGTTTTATATTTTTGACATTTTTTTATAATTTTTTTTGTGAAATAAATTATAATCAATAATGAAAACTATAACATTGATATGATATAAGAATTTAGTTGACTGAATTTATTAATATATTGTACCCATATAAATTTATTAATCACATTGCACTAAATTTTTAAATATACTAATATATCATATATGATAATATCATGTTGATGCTTTAAATATATGAAATTTTTCAATCATAATTGATGGGATCACATAAATATGATCAATTCTTTTCAAATATTCATTTACTTCATTCATTTGTAGTTGTAGATATCAAAATGTAACAATTTATTTTAATTAGAAACCAGCCCAATATAAACCATCTTGATAACCATCTTTAGTTAATAAACCATTTGATTTTTTACCAGATAAAGAATTTTCCAATTTTTTAACTTGCCAATTCATTAAACCAACAGATCTTTTTAAAAATTTTAAATCTTTTTGATCTTGATAATTTTGAGCTGGTAATAAATATAAATTAACAAACATTATTGGAATTATTGAACCAGCTAAGAATCCAAAAGTACCTGTACGAAATGATGGAGATGACATTAATGAAGGTAATTTAAGTTGAATCATAAGAATTGTGAATAACTAAAAGTTTAGTTTGTAAGTTAACTATAGTTTCAATTCAAAAGCAGCTTAATATAGATGATGAGGACTAACTAACGTTTCAATTCCAGCTTGAAAAATTAGTTAATTGAGTTACAATAGAGGAGGAATAAAGAATTGAATAAAATTAGGGGTATTTTGTGGTTTATATAATTTTAAAGATCAGAGATCAGATTAAATTACTCAATAGATATTGATCATGACTAGTTTTATTCTAATCAATTCTACACTTATCCCCACAATTATAACATAGAGATAAGGGGTACATATTCAATTGAGTTTACCATATGTATAATTATTAATTGTAATATTACGAAATCAGGTCACCAGATTACAAAACATTGTACAAGGATTACAACAGTTAGGATTAATGGGATTACCTAACAATATTTAAGGAGGAGATTTTAATTTAAATTTCAAATTTGCTATAAAACTGATTGTTTTTGTGTCATTTGAAATGACTCGTTGCTTACATAATGAAAAGTAAATATTGAAATGTTGAATGATCTCATACTTTACACAGATAAGAAACCTTTTATAGAATTTTATTGGTTGATTGCTTTGAAAGGGGGTTAAAATTGATATTTTAAGTAAATTGAGAGATTTACATCAGTAAAGGACTCCAAGTTGAATCAAGTTGAATCAAGTTGACAAGAATTTAAAGCTGTCAAATTTGTTGAGTTGCGGTCTCCATTTGATAAGATCATGTCTGTTAGATTCTAGATCATATCATGTGAGATATATACAATTGAATTGAAACATCATAAACATAAATTATTAAATAATTAAATCATAAACTCATATCTAAATTATATATATTATTTTGCTACTCATAACCATCCTTATATTAATTGTTAATTATTTCCTTTTAAATCCTAATTTAGCTAAAAATCCACTTTTTTTAGGTGTACCTTCATCAACAGATTTTGAATGTCTTGAACCAATTGAATGTGAACTTAATCTTCTTTCATTAATTGGTATTGATTTAGATCTTTCAATATTATTACCACCACCACCACCACCACTTTTAGAACTATTTGAAGTTTTTGTTGATAATTGATCATCATCTAATAAAGATTTAACTTTATAAATTCCACTTGAATTATTTGAATTTCTTCTTGAACTTAAAGGTGAAGAAAATTGTGAATTTGAATTACTATAATTACTATTTGATCTTTCATAATTATATCTTGGAATTGATAAATTATCACTAAATTTAATTTTTGTACCAGAATTTGGTACACTATTTGGATAATAATTTGATGGTGTATCAGCTTGTTCAATATTTAATGAAGAACTTGTATTTGAATTTGAATTTGATCTTGATAATGAATCTGTATTAATTGCATTTTTATAAATATCTGATATATTATTTAATTTTGATAAATAATTATCATAATCTATCTCACCATTTAGACATTCACCAGAATCAATATTTATATCAGGTATTGGACTTTTAATAATTTCATCTTTATTTAAACTTGTATAATTTCTATCAATTAATAAATCTGGAATTATAATTGTTGATAAATTTAAATTTTTCATTAAATAAAATGGTAATTTAATATTATTATTTTCAAATTTAATTGATAATCTATTTGAAATTAAACTTGAAATAAGGAAAAAATTTGGATTATAAAGATTAATTGAATTTTTAATTAAATTTTTAACAGATTTATCTTTAATAAATTCAATTGTTATGGAAATTTTTAAATCTTCTAAACCTAATAATTCAATACATTTAAAAATATATGAACTTAATGAATCAACTTTTTCTTTAATAAATTCACTTGTAATTTCATCATCATAATCATCATAATCATCTAATATAGTATCATAACCAGAATTTGGATCATTAATTGAATTTAAAGTTGGTAATTGACTTATAATAATTAAATGATCACCATTAATTAAGAAATTTTTTAAAACCCAATTAATTGAATCCCAAGTATGTTTCCTACCACTTATATAAATAATTAAATCTCTTAAACTTTCTGAAGATTGTTTAATTTCATGTTTTAAATTTGGATAATTTTCATTAATATGCTTATCATCTTGATTTGCTGCATTACTTTCTTGATTTAAATCATTAAAATAATTTTGAATAAATTTTGTCATATCACCATGTTTAAAATTAACACTATAAGATTTAAAATTTATATTTTTATTATTTGATTTAAATAATTTTTTATTATTTATAGTAACAATATTACCAACTAATTTATCAACATTATTTAAATTTTGATTTCTATTTTTTTTATAAGATTGATCAAATGAAGTTAAATTATGTAAAGGTAAATAATTATCACCATCAAATTCAAATTTATCTAAATTACTAACTGAAGTTTTTTGATATTGTTTATCCATTTCTAATAATTCTTCAGGTGACATTTCCACAATTGATTTTTTACGTTGTTGTGAAGGTAAAATTGAAGTAATTGAATCATCTGGTAAATTTTTTGGTATAGTTTCAGTTTCATTTATAATATAATCTTGATTATTAAAAGTATAATTCTTTTTTAAAATTGATTTTGATGGAGGAGGTGGTAATTTTGGAGTTTTCCTTCTTATTTTTAAATTTTGACCATTTGAAGCTGGTTGAGCTTTATAATTTAATTTATTATTTAATTCTTGAAATGAATCAAAAATTTTAAATAAATCTTGATTTTTATCTTTATTATTATAACCAGTTGGTTCATAACCAAAATTTAAATCTAATCCACGTTTATTTGATTGTTGTTGTTGTTGTTGATTTGATTCATGATCATTTGGGAAATTTTGAATTGATTGATATTGTGGAGGGATATGTATGGGCTCATCAGGTTCAACTTGAATGTTTGGATTAAGACTATCAAAAGACACACGACGAGTATAAACAGCAGACATTTGAGATCTTTATTGATAAACTCTTAGTTAAATTGCACCAGTTGTTGAAGATAGATCAAATAAAATATGTTTTTTCAGGAATCCAGGTATAAAAGATTATAAGGGTCTTTTTCGGGTTTATTAATGGGTTGCGAAATAAAGTGACAATCAAAATGTAAATCAATGAACTGATTCTGGAAACAAATAAATTATCAACTGATTTAATAAATGATTAATTTCAATCTAATTTATATTTTAATTTTTTGTACTTGTCATTGCCCATTTTTAACACTTTGGACATTTCAACTAAATTCCCTTTTCCCTTAAAAATGTGCCAAGTTATCAATTTAATTAATGGCTGCTATAAAGTTACATAAGCATCGTGATAACAATTACCATCACCAAAGAAAACCAATGGACTAAAGTAAAACTAGGGTAAATTATGAACCAGTTATTAACTGATCTTATTGTATAACTTCTATGATATCATTCGTCTTCCCCATAATCTATTATCGTTGATGTCACAATAGGCTTAGAACTTGTAACCTCATTTACACTAAAATTCTGAAATTATGCACCATTTCTTTAAAAAGAGGCTAGGCTAAAAACATATGTCAAGTTAATTAAAATTACAAATCAAATCACCGTTTTTTACTAAATAAATCATCCATTCATTAACATTTACATAAAAATCAAATATAATAAAAATCAAAAAAAAAAACATACACACACATTATTCTTGTATAGAACCTAATGGGTATATAATAATATAATGAAGGGAATAAAAAACTATGTGTATATATATAAAACCAATAAAAGATAAAAAATCAACAAACTAATAATAAACGAATGTATTCAAATCTCATTCAACATTTGTAAATGGATTTATAGCATGAACTGTTAAACATGGTAATGCCATACCAATTTCTGCTCTTAATAAAATTGGAATTGAACTTAATTCATGAATTTCTTGAATATAATCTTCTCCTTCAATTCTTAAATTTAAATTATTTAAATATGAATCAATTGCACTTGATCCAATTTTTTCATCTTTAAATTTATTTAATGTTGAACTTGATAATGTACGTTCATTAACATTTGGTAAAATTTTTGATGATGTAATTTGATCAATTGGTGTAGTTGGTAATGATTGTGAAATTTCATCTTTATCATTAACTTGAGGAATTTGGAAATTTGGTGGTGATAATTTTAATCTTTCTAATTCTTCAGATAATTTATTTGAAATTAAATTATTTGATAATTTTTCTTGTTGATGTTTGGCAATTTCATTTGCACTTGTTTTAAATTTATTTTTAATTGAATTTCTATAACTTAATGGTTCACGTTCATCTTCTGGAATGAAAGTACCACTATCAATACCCTTTTCCCAATATAATTCTAAAATTCCATTATTCTTATCATATTCAGCCTTTTTCAATGGTAATTGATCACCATGAACTCTTTTTTCAATACCAAATTCTGGTAAAAAAATATCAAATGCACTTTCATAAACTTGTAAAACAATACCAACAACAATTAATTGTCCAGTTTTTTTACTCATTTCATTTATAGTTTGTGATAATAATAAATGAATTGATTGATCTTGTGAAGATTTTGCACAATCTTTCTTAAAATTACAATATTCTGCAGTCATCTTTAATGATTCTAAATCTTCATTATTAACAATTTCAGCTTGTTGTTGTTGCTTTAAAGTTTCATCATCATTTAAAGTTAATTTTAATTGTCTATGAACAATAAAATCTGAATATCTTCTTAATGGTGATGTAAAATGGGTATATAATGGTAAATTAAAATAAAATGCTCCATAATTTTCTGGTTCAACTTTACCTGCAACAAAATATTTTGATCTTGTTAAAGTTTTATAAAATAACACTTCAATACTTTGTTTAATAGTTTCATCTTTAATTGATAAAATTGAATTAATTAATGATGAACTTGAACTTGTATCAATTTTAATACCTAAATTATTAATTTTTCTTTTAAAAGTTTCTAATTTTGTTAAAGTTGGTATAGTTTGTCTTCTTAAAAATGCTAAATCACCCAATATAGAATGATTTCTTTGTGCAATTGTACCATTAACTTTGAAAAAAATTTCATTTAAAATTGGTGAAGTTAAATTTGATTTAAATAAATTTAAATGTAATCTAATTTTTTCATCATCAATTTGATCAATTAATGTTAAATTATCATCATTATTTAATTCATTATTTTCTAATCTTTGACGACGAAATTCTCTTGAAATTAATGCAATAGTTCTAATATAATCTTTTGATGCTGATGAAATTCCATCATTTTCTTCATTAATTAAAATTGAATCAATTTGATCATAAGTTAATCTATTTTTTGGTTTAATAAAAGATTCACCAATCCAAACATTATCAACTTCAAATTTATTTGTATCAATTTCAAAAACAACAGAAATTGATAAATTTTTTTCATTTTTTTTAAAACTTAAAATTTCATTAATTGAATTTGGTAATAAATGAACAGTTTTTTGAGCTAAAAATACTGAACTTGATCTTTTTCTTGCCTTTTTATCTAATAATGAACCTTCTTTAATAAAAGCTGAAACATCTGAAATATGAACACCTAATTCAATTTTTTCATTTGAAACTCTCTTGACATGTAATGCATTATCACTTGTAATACCAGTTTCACTAATTGCTAAAACATATTCATTTGAAAAATCTCTTCTTTTTTCAAATTCTAATTCATAATCAATTTCATTAATTTCAAAATCTTCACGTTCAACACCATTTTCATCTAAATATTCTTCACAAAGAAAATTATTATCTCTTAAAATTGCATCAACTTCAGTTTGAGGATCATTCATTGGTCCTAATTCTGAAACTAATGTACCAAATGGATGTAATGAAGTAATTGGCCAACGTTTAATTGAAGCAACAAATAATTTATTTGAATAAACATCATGATTTTCAACAAAATCTTTTGGAGCTTGTTCAGTTGGAATAGCAATTAATGGAACTTTTTTATCAGTTGGTTTAAACCAAACAATTTTTGGTCTTGAAGGAGTTGATTGATCTTTAGCTTGTTGAGAAGGTCTTAATAAACCAAGTGTACCTGCAAATAATTGACCAGGAATACGATCAATAACTGCAACAACATGACCTGCATATAATGGTTTATATTCATCATTAATTTCTTCTTCTTCAACTAATAATAAAGATTGACCTTCAACTTCAACATCATCATTTTTTTTCAACGTTGGACGTTGTTTTAATGAACCTTTTCTCTTTAGCGAACCTTCACTATTACCAATTGATTTTTCTCCATCATTATTATTTAAATCATTTGATTCATTTGATGAAGGTAATGAACCTGAACCTGAAGAATGAGTTGAAGCATCATTATGAACATCATCAATAACAACATTTGAAGAATTTGAATTTAAATTTGAATTGTTATTATTATTATTGTTATTATTATTACCATTATTATTAAAATCTTTTCTTCTTTTTTTTTCTTCTTTTTCACGTTTTGAACCCCAAACTTCATCAACAGCTAATAATTCCACTGCAACTAAATCACCTTCTAAAGCTCTATTACGATCTTTTGAACCACAAATGAAAATATCAGAATCTAATAACCCATCAGTGGAAACATAAGCATCTGAACGATTTTTTTTATTAACTCTTAAAGTACCAACAACTAAACGACCTTCAGCAACTAATTCAGGAATTGAAGATTGAGGTAAATATGGAGCAAATAAAGATTTTCTACCACCAACTTGACCAGGTAATTGGAAACCACTTAATGAAGAAATTGAATTACCACCATGAGAACCTCTTGATCTATGACCAGGTGTAAACATTGGAGTTGGAGGTTCCAAAAAATTGGAATTATTATCAAATTGTTGAGAAGGACTTGATAAATGATTTAAATTTCTTTGAGGAGATAATTGTCTTGAATTTTGTTGTTGAGATCTCCAATTTGAATTAATATTTGAATCAAAATTTCTTGAATTTGAACGATTATGATTATGATTATAATTACCAGATTGACGACGTTCATGATAAGAATATTGTTGAGGAGGAGGAGCTAAAGATTGATCAATAGTAAATTGTTGTTGAGGAGATTTTGGTGGGAATTGATAGGATCTTTGAGGAGAATGAGAAACATTTGATCTTGAACGACCATGACCACCATAATTACCACCATTTGAAGGACGTCTTGATAAACCTGAACTAGATTGAGAAGGAGAAGGAGCATCAATAACAGTTGAAGGGAATTTAAAACCTGAAGGAGGAGGCATTGAAACATTTTCATCATTTTCAACTTGATTAAATTGAGATTGAGATTGAGATTGAGATTGAGATTGAGATTGACCACTTCTTTGAGCTTGAACTTGAGCAGCAGCTTTTTTAGCTTCATTTAAACCTAAAGAATGTCTTCTTGAATGACCTAAAGTTGATTGATTTGGAGGAGAATTATTATTATTTAAATTTGAACTAATTTTTGGAGCAGGAGCTAAAGAATTTGGCATTGCAAAATTACCCATAGCACCAGTCATTGAAGATTGAGATCTTCTATGAGTATTTGAACCAGATCTTCTATGAGATTGAGGAGGTTGGAAAGATTGTTGTTGACCATTATTATTATTACCACCACCACCACCTTGTTGAGATAAAATTTGTTGTTGTTGTTGTTGAACCAATTCTAATTGACGTTGTAAAGTGATTTGTTCAATCATTAAACTTGTTAATTCACTTGGAGATCTTCTATGAGCAATATGAATTTGTCTTGGATTTTTACCACCAGTAGTGGTAAAACTTTGATTTTGATTTTGATTTCTTTGATGATTAGACATATTTTAATAAATGATGAAATGAAAGAACCAAGAATGTAAATTAAAAAAAAAAAGAAAACACACAAAAGGATAACGTCTATAGTTTAATTAAATTTGATGATGAATAGAAATAATGATAGATTGAATTTTTCTCTTTTTTTTGATATATAATGCAATTAATTGAAGATAATGAATGGGTATATTGGTAAAGAATGAGGGAGGTCTTAACCCAGCATACACAATTGAACAGAAGGAAAGGGGTGAAATGAGTAGAGTAGATTCAAAGGGATATTGATCTGTTGATGATGAATTAATTGTTCAATTGATTTTGATTTGATTGAATTGTTGTTGACTTTGTTGTTCAACTTGTTGATTTTGTTTGGGGGGCAAAATTTTGTTTAGATTTTAAAAAGTTGTTGATTTTTTTTTTTTTAATTTGTTGTCCATGTAAAAGTGGCAGGGAATTTTTTAAATTTGCTTTGGGAAAATTTTCAAATCAAATGAACAAAAATGACGAAATTAGATCAGATTTATATGAGTAACTAAATAAGAAGTGAGTAATCTATTGATTATTGAAGAGTAATGAAGATGTTAGTTTTGTAGAGCGATGTTTGTTGTGTAGCTTTCTAGTTTGTTGCAATTGAATAGATCAGATTCAAAAGAATGGTATGAGTATAAAAGAATAATAAATTCATAGATCATATACACTAGCACTAAATTACACTATAATACAAAAGTAATTATACACTACAATTTAATTATCTGGTACTATTGTTTGTCTTTGTTTATAGCAATTAATTTAAATTTATGAAATTCTGTGCTTCTAGAACTATGATTAAGTTAAAGTTTGAAAGCCATAATAACTTTAGACATTTCACATGAAAGACAATATACAAGACAATAAAACATGAATACACTATCGTTAAACCCTAAACCATTACATTGAAAGCATTTTATCCAAATGGTTATAAATGGTTCTTTCGGATTCTTAATGCATATGAAATTGCCAGCATATAAATCTATTTTAAGAACAATTATACGCGTACAATGTACATATCGCGTACGTATATAACTATTTCATGAAAAGACAGTTACTAATTGTTATATATAAGTAATTTAATAGTGGTAAAACATCAATATATAATATAATAATTTATAATTCAACACTTAATTATCTCTTAACAATAATTCCTTCTCCATGATTTACAATTTGTAAATTCGCAATTAAACACAAAAATCTTTTTTGTACCTGACATAAATTTAATATATTACATCATTGATTATGTCATCCCAGCGCTACTGATTACGTAAAAGTATAACCATTAAATTATTATTATTATATCAACATTTAACTGAAACAACATCATGTTTATACACTAATTCATCATGTTCTTTCTCTATATAAATAACCATAGCAGTTAATTCACCACCATAAACACAACCACTATCTAAACCTTTTGAATATTTATTTAAATTTAAACCTAATCCGGCATAATGACCATAAAATATTATATTTCTATGTTTTTTATCAATTGTTTTTTCATAATTATTATAATCCTTAAACCAATATTTATTTAATTGTAATTGATCCATAATTTTTTGATTTTCAATTGTTTTTTTGTCAATATTTATACCTAAATGTGATGCAATTCCATTAATTGGTGAATTCCATTTATTTTCATGATTTGTAAAACTTGATACAAGTCCTAATTCCAAGAAAATTGGCATTGAAGTAATATAATTAATATGCTCTGGTGTTAATTTTTTGGCAATCATGATTTCTTTATCAATTTTTTTTGGTCCATCAATGGTTTTTTTAGTTAAATTATATAAATCATCATCTTGGAAATATAAATTTTTAGAACCTTGATATTTTGCTAGGATTGATAATTCATGATTACCCAAGATACCTTTAAAACCATTTTCCATTGCATAATCTAATACACCTATTGAATCTGGACCTTTTGATAAATAATCCCCTAAAAGAATAACTTGATCCATCTCATTATTAAATTCAACTTTTTCAATTAAATTTTTTAAAGGTTTTAAAGAACCATGAACATCACCAATTATAATTAATCTTTCATTTGTTTTAGTTAATGGTTTAGATAATTTATCAAATTTATTTAATCTTGGTAAATTAATTCTTTCAGTTTCTTGAGTTGGTAATATTATAAATAAATAAATTATAAATGGTATTGTTAATATTGAAAATATGATATATTTAATTTTTTTAAAAGATGATTGATAATTTGTTGTTTCATCAATTAATTCAGATTCAATGGTTTGATAATCTCTGGACATCTTGTATGATATACTCTATAAAATATCGTATATCAATTCTTGGTTATCATTATCAATTTATATCAATTGAAAAATTTCAACGGTTTCTTCTTAAAATTCTCGAGTCTATATTAAAATTAAATTTACAAACAAACGTGCGTACTTGCATAGTCCCCATAGTCCCATAGTCTCAGTATGAAAGTCTCAAAAGTATGTATTTGGTGTGTGGGTGTAAAGATATAGACCCACTGGAAGAGACTCAAAGTGATTTAATCCGGGTCTAGAAGTATATTTATATAAATTTAACTGAATTTAAAAGATAAAAACAATTCAAAAAAACAATTATATATAAAAAAAACCTTGGGCATAACAATAAACTTCTTCATAAATCCATATCTCCACTCCTTTATACCCATAATCATTGCTTTGTTATTCATCACTATGTTTAATTACCGCGAATTTTCAATATCTCGTAATTATTTTTGTTTTTTTGTTTTTATTGTTGGATTTTAAATTTTGTTGATAAAACCGCAGTGGGAAATTTAAAATTAGGTACAATTAAAAAGTAAAGAAAGAATATGGTTATTTAAATTTAAAGTGGTATATTATAAACAGATCATTGCTCATTATATTCATTATTATTCATTAATATTCATTAATATTCATTATATCAACATTCTTTAAAATTGCCTGAGTCCATATCCTTATCATTGTTATTATATTACTCGTGTGATTATGGGTCAATTACTTTCACAACCTTTAAATGATAAATTAATACAATATAAAGAATATGAAAAATTTAGTTATTGTTTGGGTTCAATGCAAGGCTATAGATTAACTCAAGAAGATGCTCATTCAATAAATTATGAATCAAATTTACAATTTCAAAATTTAATTAATGATTCAATTGAACCAATAGATTTAAAAATTTATGGAATTTATGATGGTCATGGTGGTTCTCAATCTTCAAATTATATAAGTGAACATTTACCTCAGGAAATTATAAATCAATTTAAATTTCAACCAATTGATATTGATAATAAAAATACATCATACAAGACAATTCAAGGTTTATTAATTTCAAAATTTAAAAATGCATTTTTAAAAACTGATTATAATTTATTTAAATTTTTCCAACAAGAAAATAATAATAATAATAATAATTCTTGCTTAAATTCAGGTTCAACAGCAATAATGGGGATAATTATAAATAATAAAGAATTATATTGTTTAAATACTGGAGATTCAAGAATTATTACATCAATTAATGGAATTGCTAAAAATTTATCATTTGATCATAAACCAAATCATATTGGTGAATTAATTAGAATTAATGATGCTGGAGGTTCAGTAAGTTTTAATAGAGTTGGTGGTATATTAGCACTTTCAAGAGCATTTGGAGATTTTAATTTTAAATTAAGAAAATTTAGAAATCAATCAATTGATTCATCATTTGAAGATCAAATTTTAAATTCTGAAGAAACTCAAGTAACAGTTGAACCTGAAATTATTATTCATAAAATTTCACCAAATGATGAATTTATAATATTAGCATGTGATGGTATTTGGGATTGTTTTAATAATCAAGATTTAATAAATTATATAAGAAATCAATTAGTTAAAGGTTTAAAATTAAATGAAATTACTTCAATTTTATTAGAATATACTTTAAGTTTAGCAAATCAATCAACAGGAATTGGATTTGATAATATGAGTTTAATTATTATTGCATGTCAATTAGATAATGAATCAATTGATCAATGGTATGAAAGATTAAAATTAAAAATTGAAATTGAAAAAGGGATTGTGTAATATATAATGGAATTTTTAAAAAAAAAACAGAACTAATGAGTTAATGAATAAAGAAAGAAATTAATGATTAAATATTTATTTGCTATATATTTTTAAATAATTAGGGACTTCAAATTATCAATGAGGATAGAAGTTGGTTTATACTTTTGGTAATTGATGAATAGATCGGGATCTATAAAATGATCATCTATGATGATAGATACAATACATGATTATGGATTGTTGGTTAGAAATAGTGTAGATAATTAAATATGACCAGTATCAAAACTTCATGAGTATTAATTAAATCTCGGAGAAATGAATTCAATCGACAACATATAAACTCGATATTAAACCCAAGAAAATCAATTAAAGCAACCTACTTTTCAATCAATCCAATTAAAATCTCAACATTCCCTTGGTATAAAAAAAAACTCCCATTTTTTTGACCCAAATTCCAATTAAAATCTGTCAAATCTGAAATTTATTCAAATTTGGATTTTAGCCTGTGTAATTTTTTTCGCGCGCATACATAAAAAAGAAAAACATGCGATTTAAAAAAACAAACAGGACAAAATTAATTTTAAAAATAAGCTGAAAGTCAGGGTATAATTTGAACTAGGACAAGCTATTGTATGCTGAATATATAATTGGGAGAGAAGCAGAAGGGAAATTTGGCACCATGGCACAGTTATCAATTGGTTCCTCGGAGTACATAGACCCAATCTCATCGGTTATAGATACAGATAATTTCAATTCTAAATCAATTTCATCAATTACATCAAAATTCCCTTCGTTTTATTCTAAAATTACATCAAATTGTTCTATTGCTTTGAAAATTTATAAAAAATTATTAAATATGGAATATGAATTAAATTCTTGGGAATTTTTAACTTTGAAAACTTCAATAAATATAAATTTTAATCTTGATCAAAATTTAAAACAACAATCAACAAGAAAATTTGATATTAAAATTGCTAAAGCTGTTATTGAAAGATGTGGTAAAATTGATGATGAAATTTCTATTCAAGACCGGAACTTAAATAATGTTATTTCATTTATAAGTGGGTTAACTATACAAGAATATATATCAGATCCAGGAACATTATTATTAAAAATTTATTTTAAAATTTTAAATTTAAAAACAATTATAATTGAAAAAATTAATATATCATATACAAAATCAAAATTATTAATTATAAGTTTTGAATTAAAACAAATTACAGATATGATTAATGAACAAGAAAATCCCCTTGTTGGGGTTGATACTGATTTCCAATCAACTTTAGAAGGTTACAAGGATTTTGTCACTGTATTAATTAATCAATTAGATCAAGCTGTCCAAGATAAAGATAGTGAACAAATTCAAGAATGTTTAAGTATATTAAATGATGTGGAAAAAATGTATGAAACTGTTCGTATGAATTTCTTTTACACAGAAGAATGGAATCAATGGGAACAAGAACAATTATCAATAAAACAAGCTGCTGAAGCTGAAGCAGAAGCACAGGCACAATTAGAAAAAGAAAGAGAAAGACAATCAAGATCAAGATCTCGTTATTCAAATTCTCCATTAGGTTCATCACCATTACAATCTCCATCACCATATTTATCAATTGATGATGAAATTTTTGAAGATGATTCAATATTAAATTCACCATCACAACAACATCATCAACAACAATTTCATAAACATTTACATTCACAACAAAATCATCATCATTCATTGCAAAGAAGAAGTTCAATAAGTTCTACAACATCATCAATTGCAACTTTTAATCGTCATCCAACAACAATTAGTGAAGAATTACCTTATTTATTACAAGCATTTGATGAAGCTAAACAATTAGAACAAGAATTATCAACTTATCAAACTCAATCATCAAGAAATATACCTAAACCACCAACTAAACCATTTGCAAATTCATCATCAACAAGATCTTCTTCACCAAATAGTTCACAACAATATTCATCATCACCAAATAATTCACATCCGAATCCATTAAATAATTATGATAAAAAAAAATCAAATTTACAAACTTATCAAATACCAAATATTGGGTTTAATAATAATTTACTGAATAGTATTTATGGATTAAATCCAAAATCTTCTTCATCAACATCAACAACAAAATTTAATTCAAATTCAAATTTACATAATGAAATTGATTGAAAAAAAAAAAAAAGACATATACTTTTATGACCCATTTATGATTTTAATACCCATTTATTTTGCATTCTATATATTTATTAATACAATATATATATCATTACATATTCAATTCATATTTTTATATATTAAAAAAAAGTTGTATGGTATATTTTTTTATTAAAAAAATTGAGAATATTCGCAATCATATAAGCATGATATTGAAAAAAATGAAAAAAATCAACAGCTTTAATACTTTGAAATCTTCATGACTCGAATATAATTACTAAACTATTCAAAGATGGTGTCTGCTTTAACTGATTTTGACTATGATCTCACTGGAAATGCTATTCTTATGGAGGATACAATTGATAACATGCAATTTTGCTTTGTGGAGTCTAGTTTATATGAATTTAAATTACAAGAATTATTTAAAATTCGTCAAAAGGATAAATTAAATACAGAATGTGATTATTATTTAGATATTAAAGATACAGAGAAATTTGATAAAGCAATTTCTTATTTGAGACTTGATTTTTGTACACCTAACTTTCCACTGATTATAAAAGACGAAGAATATGGATCTTCAGATAAAAATTATATTCAAATTATAAGAAACAAGGTGAAACTCATGCCAGGTAAAGAATATCCGGAATTTATCTTGGGTATGTGGTATATTGCTTTCGATATAAATTTATTAATCAACTGGCTTCCTTATGGTTCAACATCAAATCAAAATGTTCATCAAAGTCAATCCAAATTTAGTAGAGCTTTTAAATTAATTGAATTTGAAGACATTAAAGAATTGAGAAAAGAAGATTTTAAAGCAAATATTTATCAATTGGAATATTTCATAAAGAAATCTTTAATGAAATTCAATCGTAAGGAACTAATTCGTATGCTTGAGATACTTTTAATGGATTATAAAAGTTCAAACATAAATTCATGTCGTGGAAAAGCAAATGATGATGAAGTTACAAGAGAATCAATTCTACGAAGTGATTTGAAGTATAATATAGTGAAACCTCTATTGAATTTTTTATTTGAATTGATAAACGTTCATTTTGATGAAGGAAGTCATTACAGATTTTCACAGATTGATAGTGATAAAATTTTGATTGAAACACCAAGTCAAGTTTGGAATAAAATATCTGGTGATATAGGTGAAAATTATCCATCTGATTTAGTTGATTATCAATTATTTGAGAACACTAAAGATATGCATATTGTAACAAAATTAAAATCAAGACAAGATTTATCATTTAATTGCTTTGGTATAGAAACGATGACGAACCCTCATCTTTTTGGAAAATTAGATCCATCAAACAAGTTTAAAGATTTGAATGCAGTATTCAGAGAATCATCCCAGCATTTAATACGGAACCGTCTTAGTCGTTATATGGTTACTGATTTAATTGAGGCTCTTTATTTTGAATTGCCAGTTTCAACAGATGGTTATTGGAGTGGGAAAGATGATCCAGATCACGTTGTTTTAAAAAAAGCACCTTTAAAGTATCTTTATTTTGATAATTCAAAGGTTAGGGAACCAGAGACTTTATCATTTCAATGTTTAATTGCACTTCAAGTGTTTGAGCAAATTAAAAAAATTATATCAGAAAATATAATTTCATATAAAGAAGTGAATTGTCATGATGCTGATTATAGAAATTTTGATGAATCTACTGATGAGAATTATAACAAATTCATATTAGAATTGATGAAGAATGGGTTTAAGAAGAAGCAAGAAATTACAAAAGCATCAATTAACCGTGAATTTAACTCCCCTTCACATAACATCAGATCAAAAACTCAAAAGAGGGTCAGACTCAATCCAAATTATACAGACAATCTTTTTAACTTGAAAATTCAAATGGAAACTGAAAATTTTGAAATTTTGGAAGGTTTTGCTTATGCAAGTAGTTTGAAATTATTTTTATCTTCCAAGGAATTTTTGAATAAAATTACTATTAGAAACCAATACCAGGATGATCAATTATCAGATCAAGTTTTTTGTAAAATTTATGATTTATTTCAGATGCCAATTTTATTTAGAAATTCAAAAATTATATCATGGAGTGAAGATACACAATATGAAAAACTTGATCAAATTCAAAAAAATATTTTGTATTCATTAGAAGATAATAATATTAAAGATCTAAATGAATGGATTAATGATATGAAAGGACTATTTTTCCAAGAGATTATCGCTTTGAAGAAGATTGAAGATTGGAACTCCATAAATGATGAGCAAAACCAAATAAACACAGCAAAGTTACTGCAATATGGTTGGTTTGATGATTTAACTCTAGGAGATAAATATTCATTATTTGGACCTTTTTTAATACTAGAAAAGATTGATTTTATTAATGATAATAAAATTTCATCTTTTAAACGGAAAGAAAATTTTAGAAAACAAATTGAATTATTAAAAAAGGCAGGTATTTCTCATGAAGATTTAAGTAATAAATATAATTATTGTTTCAACCAAAACGAGGAGTGCTTTATTGTGGATTTTGGCATGTCTACAGTTGATGATGTTTCATTTTTAGATAATGTCTTTGATAAGATTAGTTTTTGGCCACCAGAAGCTTAAAAGTAATGAAGCATTAAAATTATCTAAAATTGATATTTTTTTTTTAGTTGAACCTTTATATGAAGATAATAATCAGTCTTCTCTTAAATTGACAAGTAGCTATATTACAGATTATCAATCATGCTTGTATTATCAATCAATTCTTGTATGATTTCCAATTTATTATCATCAATTTTGAAAATTAATGTAGTTGAATTTTCCAATCTTGTTATATAAACATTTAATTTCAATTTCATAAAAGACTGGATATTGGACGGTAATGAACCTTCAATCTTGGAAATCGACATTTCTTTAACACTTGCACCTGATAATCCGTCATCACCTTTCAACTTGAATGATAATAGACTCAAATCACCATTTCTTTCAACGATTAAAGTACCTCTCAAATAAGGAGCTGTAGCAATAACATCAAACTCCCTATTGGTAAACACGAACCTATAATATGATCCTTCTTCTTGGCCACCATCTTGATATTCCATTCTGACATTTTCTGGAAGTTTAATAGAATTCACATTAAATCTACTATTTACCCCAAGACTATAAGGTGAACCTCTTAGATAAATTGAAGTTTTACTGAAAAGTATAGAGCCTTTCCACTCTACAACAGTAGATATTGGTGCAACAGGTTCCAATATTGGACCATCATAGCAATTGCTCATATATGATTCATATGTCTTTTCTTTCCAGATTGGATTTGAGTAAAAATATTTACCCTCTCTATTCCTTCTAACCAATGAGAACACAAATGCACCTTCATCGGATGGTGCTGTATCAAATGTGAGGATATCATGACCATTATCATTTAAAAACATACTATATGGCCATATTTCAGGTTTCAAGAAAAATTTCAAGCCTTTTGAATCTTTACTCTCCATAACTGTTTTGAAATTTGGATCTCCTCTCATTTTAGCGAAACCTCTACCTTTTTGACGGAATATGATAGCATAACCTTCTTTAGCAAAACAATTGAAAAAATAATTATGTGGATCTTCTTTTAATGAACCTGGGATAAGATGAAGTTGCTTACGTCCAGATTTCATTGGGAAATCATCAACTATGAAATCATCATCAATAGTTTGGAATGCACGATATTGTATACGAGTTTCATCGAGAACAATGATCAGCCAAGATCTATATTCACCACATCCCGTTTTCACAGGAGAAATATCTGTAATAGCACCATTATTAACTTTAATTCTTCGTATTAATTGTATTTTCCCATCTTCTAAAATTTTATTGATTTCAAGATCATGTGTATATGCTGTGACCAGATAAACCTGTCTATCCTCTAATAACTGAGCCTTGACTGACCTGACAAATTTAGACTCTGTGCTTCTTAAATCGGCCATATTGAGTTGTGGCTTGAATTGACTTGAGCCTTGAATATTGTTTATATATCGATGTAAAGATCAACTTTTTGGCGGTTACTGAAGTTCTTATAACGTCGCGAATAGTACCATGATTCTTACGAAGCAAAAATAAAACAATCCCACCCCCAAGGTTCGAATGGAGATGATTTAAAATTAGGACTAATATTCTTTTATATTATTGTTAGCAAAAAAAGCCAAAAAGCTATAAGGCAGTAAACAACATCAATTTTAGTTGAAAATACTTGGGAACTCAAATGTAATGTACTCAACTATTCAAAGATGGTATCTGCTTTAACTGATTTTGACTATGATCTCACTAGAAATGCTATTCTTGTGGAAGATGGAGGATACAATTGATAACATGGTTCAGAAAATGGAACAATTTGAATACATTGAAAGAACTATTCATCAATTAGATGGTTAACTACAATGGAAAAGATATAAAAAATAACTAGTTTATTTAATTATTATGAACCAACTTGTGTTTGATTTTCTTTCAATTTTTTTCTTTCTTCTTTAAACTTCTTTTTTGCTTCTTTCAACTTCTTTAATTGTTCTTTCTTTTCCTTCTTTTCTTTCCAAATAAGAAATCTTTTATGAGTATCTGGTAATAAATCAAATGGAAGTGGGGGTATTAATGTGGCATTTTCTTCTTTAGTGATTTGCTCTTCAGATTTAACCATTGATTCCATCCAATATCCTAAATTATAAGGATTTGGATCTTTCATCATTATTGATAAAATCATCATTTGAATAGTATGTCTTGAGTCAATTTTTTCACCATTAAAGAATTTATATTCTAT